GTTTCCCTTTATTACCATATTCTTGACCCCCTTTGCTCACATTACCCTTCCCAAGCCCTCTTTCCCTCTGGAAATCACCATTTTATTGTCTGTGTCTATGAGTTTGTTTTTGTTAGTTTTGTTAGTACATGTATTACTTTTTGTTTTATATTCCATATATGAGTGAAATTATAGTTTTTGTTCTTTTCATCCTACTTAATTCACTTGGCATAATATTCTCAAGATCATCCATGTTGTTGAAAATGACAGTATTTCATCTTTTTATGGCTGAATAGTATTCTACTGTGTGTGTACACACACGCACATACCATATATATATGGACACTTTTTTTGCATGTCTTGACTGTTATAATAATGCTGCAATCACATGGCCACGATGGCTCAAGGGTTGAGCGAAGGCATGTGCCCTATGAACCAGAAGGTCACGGTTCGATTCCCAGTTGGGGCACATGTGCTGGGGTCCAACCCCAGCGGGTCCAGGGGTCCCCAAAGGTGTGGACGGAGTCGGTGAAGAAGGAATGACACAGAGACAGCCTTCAGTTGATCAGCAGCCTAGCCAGGATCTCTAGCCAGGAACTCCAGGCAAGTTCTGGTCAGGATCTCCAGCCAGGTTCTGTGTCCATGTTCTCTTGCTAGGTTCTCCAGCCAAGTTCTGTCCAGGTTCAGTCACCAGGTTCTAGTCAGGTTCTCTTGCCATGTTTTATCCAGGTTCTGTCTCTAGGTTCATCAGCCAGGTTCTCTCGCTAGGTTCTGTGTCTAGGTTCTGTCTCTAGGTTCTCCAGCCAGGTTCTCTCGCTAGGTTCTGTTTCTAGGTTCTGTGTCCTGTTGTCTTGTTACATCTGTATTTATACCAGTTGATTCCAATCCTATCAATCTCTATTCCAATTACATCTGTATTTATACCAGTTGATTCCAATCCTATCAATCTCTATTCCAAAGGTTAGGGCGTTTCTTATCTCCATTCCAGGGAGTAAAGATTATGTAGCTTAAGCGTGGTTGTTAGTAGTTAAAGTGGTTAACTACCCGCCTGGCACTTAGTTAAAGGGTTTTATTCCCTCCCTAACTTCAGGGGAAAATTCCTACCTGGGGAAACAACGTTTCTCAGAGGGGTGACCTTGGTTAAAACACATAGCGCCAAGAAGGTGAGCAAACATATTAAGAACAGTATGCTATATACGCCAAGTCCCTTGAAACATATGCTGTGCAGATGTTTCTTCCCTGCAGCGACTGTATCAAGCAGCAAGGATGGACTGGCTCCCAGAACACATGAGCAGGTTGCAGGCTCCATCCTGCAGGAAGCAGCCAGTCAGTGATTATCTCTTATCATTGATGTTTCTCTCTCTCTCCCTCTCCCTTCCTCTCTAAAATCAATTTAAAAAAATTATATATAATGCTGCAGTGAACATACAGATAAATGAAAAGATGTTCAACATCACTAGTTATTAGGGAAATAGAAAATCAAAACCACAATGAGGATACCACCTTATACCTGTTAGAATGACTGTTATCAAGAAGATAAGAAATGAGTTTTGGAGAGGATGTGGAGGAAAGGGAACTCTCGTACACTGTGGGAATGTAAATAAGTGCAGCCGCTATGGAAAACAGTATGGAAATTCCTCAAAAAACTAGGTGTAGAACTAACATATCATCCAGCAATTCCTCTTCTGGGTACTTACCCCCAAAATATGAAAACAAATATTTGTAAAGATATATGCACCCCTATGTTCATTGCAACCTAAAACTTTTCCCAGACAGCCTCTATTGCCTTGAGGCTTCATACTTCATCTCCTGATCAGTAACTGGCTTCTAGAGTACCCTCTATCATCTTCTGTGGTGACATGAATCTTATGTCTTGCTCCTTGCCCTTTCTCCTCTTCATTTCTGACTCAGACAAAGAAACATTGCAGGGTCTTTTCAGTTCCATTATAAGGTATCTTTTACTAGTATGAGAAATATAGAATATCCAAATGGAAACTTAGATCATTAGTCACTGAAATTTATTGACCAACACTGTGCAAAGGTTGAGGATAAACATATTGTTAACAGAGTTAGTGTTCTTTGGTCATGGTAGTTAGCAACCCCATTTATCTCTTACATACTGCCAGTTAAATAGACTTAAAACTTGCTTAGTTCCTCTAATTTATCCTGCATAAGTAATTTAGATTTTATTTTAACTTTCTATTGATTTTCTCTCAACTTTCAAAAATTGAGGTATAATTTACATCTATAGTAATAAAAGCGTATTATGCTAATTAGACTGGACAGCTGAACGACCTTCCGGATGAAGCCCGGGCTCCAAGGGCCAAGCCACTTGCATGAATTTTGTGCATCAGGCCTCTAGGTTAATAATATACATAGATCTTAAGAATTCAGTGGATTTTGACAGTTGTATACATCTTGTAACCTCTGTTGGCTTTTGAGTGGGAAAGGTTTATAAAATGATGTTGAATTTGAAGACATGAAGTTGAGGTGCATCTGTGAAGGCTGAAGTGATCTATACACACTTATTATGAACTTCAACAACTGAAGCTCTCAACCTACCAACCCTGATTCAACATTAAACTGTTTACCCTACTGCAAATCATCTGATGTTAGGCATTAATGCTTATAATTGTCCTTTGTTTCATCATAGATAAAGTTAGTCTTTATACTATTTTCTTCACATTTCTAATATGTACACTCCCTATAAACTTATGCCATGTACTTAGTTTAAGTTACTATGTCATGGTTTGCCCACCTGGTTGCCTGTTCTGAGGCATGTGTGCCATTTTAAAAGTGCTTTAGCAGGTTTTTAGAAGTCCTAAATTAGTTAAAGAATTGCAGGACTGAAAGGAACCTCAGCATTAGCAACCTTTTTCATCACTCTAATGGGTCTAAACTAATGGGCTCTATTTTTGTCAGGATATGCCCAGAGAAAATAATTTCATGTCTTCCTAGGGTTGTAAATTCTTAATGATGCCTGATCTGTCTTTCAATATTTTACTAAATCCAGTTTGCTTTGCTGAACTCATCTTGGATTATCTTTTATCCTGCAGTGAAATATGTTCCAAAAATATTTTTTATTTAAAAAAATGTCTGTGGCTTTTACATTGTTCTTTTCAAACCATTTTCACCTAGATAAATAGTGATGGGTCAAGATGTACTATCCTTTTAAATTTGGCAAATAAGGACATAAACATCTGATTTTTCTCTTTCAGCATTTTATTTTTTCTTAAGAAACGAGGTATTTACCTAGATGTTGGTCTTTTTCTTTTTTAAAAAAAAAACATTTTTATAGATTTCAGGGAGGAAGGGAGAGAGAGAGAGATAGAAACATCAATGGTGAGAGAGAATCAATGATTGGCTGCCTCCTGCACATCCTCTACTGGGGATCAAGCCTGCAACCCAGGCATGTGCCCTTGACCAGAATCAAATCTGGGACCCTTCAGCCCACAGTCCAATGCTCTATCCACTGAGCCAAACCAGCTAGGGCTGGCCTTTTTCAAGTATATGTTTTTCTCCCTTTGAATGAGGTTGTATGCCAGAGTTGAATACTTCTGAGCAAAAGAAGATTAGAGTAGGAAAACCTTGAATTAGAAAGAGCTGCTATATGGAAAAACTGTTACATGTCAAAGTTAGCAGTTAAGGAGAGTATGTTAAATTAAGATATAAAGGAAGAAATGTAATATTAAAAACTAATAAAACTGGTTTATAGACATTAAGTGGTAGATATTCTCATTTTACCTTTAAGTTCTGGTAGAACATTGAATTTTCTACTAGATAAGATGCTCTAAAACTGTAGTGCTTTACACTTTTCAGAGTTTTTTTTTTTGGTGGGTTTTTTTTTTTGTACTTTTATTTATACTTTTTAGAGCTTTCAACATGACACAACACATAAATCTCACATTGACTCTGTGAAATAGGACAAGTGATAAATTTCCAACTAAAGATGAAAAATTCAGGCCCACATGCTTCTGAGGGATATTTTAAGGTTATGTGGCAGGTTAGTTATATTAACTCTGCAACTTCAAGAAACGCAAAGGGTAAATTAAATTGAACATTAATGCATTAGTTCAACCGCCTATGGTTTTAATGTCTGTATATGACTTTTAAAAATACTCATTTTTTTTCTTTATTAAGGTATTACATGTGTGTCCTTATCCCCCCCCACCATAACCCCTTCCCCGCCCCTCCTTCCCTCCCCCTCATGCCCTCACCCCCCCGGTGTCTGTGTCCATTGGCTATAGTTATATGCATGCATACAAGTCCTTTGGTTGATCTCTCCCCCTTCCCCCACCCTCCCCTATCTTCCCTCTCAGATTTGAGCATCTGATGGATGCTTCTCTGTCTCTGGATTTGTTTTTGTCACTTATATTTTTATATCATCTTCCTCGTGTCTCCACATCATGTAGATTCTCAGTAAAGAGAAAGTTCTCAGGTAATGCTTGATCCAAACAAAGAGGAAATAAGTTCTGGTTTTTAAGAGTTTTTAGAGTGTTTTAAAATTTTTGAGCCATAGCTCTTCAGCTGATATTCTTATATTTTTTGTAATACATAGGAGAGGGTAGTGCAAAGAACAAGGGCTTACTTGTTTTGAATCTAGCAACTTTACTAGCTTCTTTACTTTGAGCAAGTTACTAAACTTCTTTGGATTCTTGATTACCTAATATCTAAAATAGGATATTATTACCTTAGATTTGTAAGGATTGAATGAAATATACATAAAGCCTCAGTTTTCTTCTAGCCTTTGAATCAGTTATTACTAAGGGAGGTTAAAATGAATTTTTAATCACATCATCTTTTCGTTCCTCCTCTGTTTATCCCATATTTAAATAGTGGTTGTAGTAGGATATGTTGGGTGACATCGGTGAATCCCCCTTCTCCTTCATATTTTCCTTTTAAGAGGCCTTTTTCATCATTTAAACTTTAGATGATGTATCAGTAGATTTGGGGGATATTTTTAAGCTGACATAGTGTCTTTGTTCCTGCCTTTCTTTGTTTTCCCCGCCCCCCTTTCACAGAGGATCTTCAAATGCTTCCTTAAAGGAAGAAGAATATAAGGAGCCTCTGCTCTTCCATTCTGGAGATCACTACCCTTTATCCGATGGAGATTGGTCCCCTTTGGACACGTAAGTATTTTCAAAATTTCTGTTTCTTGAAGGAAAAATATATTAAATTGCCTTTTCTGTTATTGGACAGTAATGGTGTTTCCTATTTCTCTCAGACAGTAGAGGCACTGAATGTGTACTTTTAACATGAATATGGACCTTTTCTCTCAATTATTTTGTTCCTAAACTTGATTAAATTTACTGTGTTGGCACTGTACATCTGTATGATCAGCATGGAGTTTGGCTCTCTACAATTCTTAATTTCTAATCTTTTAGTGTTAACTATTAATTGTACTGTGTATAACATTATGAATGTGCAGTCAGGCTTTGTTCTGTGTTCAAATCCAGTTTCTCTCATGTAGTAATGTTAATTTAATCCATCTTTCCATGCACTTTCTCTCCTGTAAAATTACCTTTCTTATAGATTTCTGTAACATGTAAGTTTCAGGTGTACAACATTATAACTCTACATCTTACATTGTTTTAACAGAGCCTGAAGGTAGTGCAAGCAGGGCTAAATTTTTCTGTAGCATTCAAGTTTTCTCCCTGAAATGGGATGATGCATAGAAAATGTTTACAGCAAGTCCACCATAAATACTAGTGTGCACTGTTTTTATTATTAATAAAAAACTCAAGAGGAAGAAATAATTGACATTTTTAAAATAGATTCTTTATATCAGCAGGATAGAGTTAATATATTCAAACTTACATTTCTTTTAATCTGTCAAACTCAGCAACACTGAAGTTCCTGACTTTAAATTCATTACATTTCTTTGTAATATGTTTGCAGCCCGTATTCCCCGGCAGCATGTCCGAAGAGTGATTCAGAGCTGGAGGTGAAACCCGCCGAGAGCCTACTCAGATCTGAGTCCCACATGGAATGGACGTGGGGCGGGTTCCCAGAGTCCACCAAGGTACTAGGGTTTACTTACCTACAGTGTAGTGTGTTTGTTGTCCATGAGTGAAGGGGTGATAGCTGACTGTGTCATATGAACATAAATGATGGTAGTGCCCTCATGGGGTCACATAAGTAAATTCAAAGTTAACATTTTTCATATTTGCACTGTGTACAGCAAAGGAAATCTAGCTTTATTTTCTGTGCTTCTATTTAGTAAATAATGTTGATTGTTAATTAACATTATAGTAAGGAAAATTTAAAATGTACCTAATGGAATTTTCACACTGAAATTTTAAATAGGAAATTTATTGTGAAAGCTTTTTTGCCAACTCATAATGAAAGAAGAATTGGAAAGATACATTTTTTATTTATTCATTTTTTGAGAGAGACTGCTTTTATTTTATGTGAATTACCCCAACTTTAAGGTTTTCTTTCTGATTTTTAAAAATTTACTTTAGAGTTGACAAATAATATTATATTGGTTTCAGGTGTACAACGTAGTGTTTCAGCATTTATATACCTTACAAAATGACCACCATAATAACTCTATAGTAACCATCTGTCACCATACCTAGTTATTACTGACTCTTATTCCCTATGCTATACATTACACTCCTGTGACTTTTTTATAACTGCAAGTTTATACTTTTTAATTCCCTTGCTCTTTTCTGCCCAACCCCACAACCTCCTCCCTTTTGGAAGCCATCAGTTTATTTTTTGTACTATGACTTTGTTTCTGTTTCATTTTGTTTCTTCTCTTTTTTTATGTTCCACATATAAGTGAAATCATATGGTGTTTGTCTTTCTCTGTCTCTTGGAAGAGGAAATATTTAGACTTCTAGTTTTTTAAAGATATACATTTTGCTTATATGCGTGATTGCATTTGAGACTTCACTACCCACTTTTACTTTTTTAAAAATTGGTTTGTAACATGTAAGTTTCAGGTGTACAACATTATAACTCGACATCTTACATTGTTTTAACAGAGCCTGAAGGTAGTGCAAGCAGGGCTAAATTTTTCTGTAGCATTCAAGTTTTCTCCCTGAAAATGAATATTCTCCCTCTTAGTATCTAAAAATTGTCATCTATTTCCTCAGTCTTCTCCAATATTGAACTCTTCATAGTAGAACCAGTTATAAATATAACTTTTATAGATATGATATTGAACAAAATGTGGTTATTAGTTTTCCCACTTTTCAATTATGAAATATTTCACACATAGAAAATAACGTATTTACTGAATATGTTGCTTAAATAAAATAAGCACATTTATTTGCATCCAGCTCAAGAAATAGGCTATAACACTTTTGAAAGTAGTTTAATTTTTAAACAATCCAACTTTTTTAGGTCAGCAAAAGAGAGAGATCTGACCATCATCCCAGGACAGCTACGATTACTCCATCAGAAAATACCCATTTTCGGGTAATTCCCAGTGAGGACCACCTTATAAATGAAGTTGAGAAGGATGCGTCCATGGGAGAAACGGTCTGTACCATAGTGAAACCCAAACCCAGAGCCCCGTGTAAGCGGATGAGCGATGCAACTTGCACTGCAGAACTTCTTGAGCCTCAGATTTCATCTATGTTAGATGCAGACCACCTTCCTAACCCGTCGTTAGTGGAGGCTCCCTCAGAATCAAAACCAGCAGCTAAAGTAGAGTCGCCATCAAAGAAGAAAGGTAATTATTTGTTTAATTTGGCATCGGTACTCTAAATTTAGATGGTAAATTATTTCAGTGTTTCAAATAATGTGTGATGATTACCATTATATCTGTACAGCTTGATCAGAACCTGTTACAACACTATTGGAATCACTTGTTTCATATGGCTTCCCCATTGCACTACAGGATCCACTGGAGTGGGACTCTGACTTCTTCCCTGCTCTCCCACAGCTGTTGCTACTCAATAGGCCTTTGAGAAGCACTTATTGAAAAAAATATATATATTTAAATAAGTTAATGAGTAAAATAAACCACTTTATTGATGAGGTGTGTCAATAAAGTAAAGTAGAATCCTAAAAAATTATGTTTAAACAACAAAAAATTAGACTAGAGAAAAATATTTTCACCTAAAACTTCTGGTTAGTTGAGGCCAAATTAAGTACTTTTTTTTTCAATAATATGAGATATATAGATAAATGTACACTAATAATTAGCATATGTTCTCTTTCACTGACTATTTTCCTCTAAAACAGAATGTAGGATCCAACTCTTGGCTCAACATCTCTATCCCACTTTTGGAATACAAGTTTAATAAATCATAACATTCTTTCTGTTTAAAAACAAAAGTTATTCATTGATACTTGTTACAGTAAGAGCCAAAACACACTCACTATCTGAACACTAGCCTTGGATCCTATTTTTAGGGAAGTAAAACCTTACCTAAAAATACACATTGTCACACATAGCCAAATATCTACTTCCATTTTTTAAAATTCTAACACCAAAGGATAGATAATTAATTTAGTAAATATTCACTACATGTATAGCTCTTCAGGGCCACTCAGAAATAACTTATCCTATCTAATAATAGACAAACATGGTAATTGACCATACCTTCGCTACGCCTCCCATTGGCTAATCATCGCGATATGCAAATTAACCCAACCAGGATGGCGGCCGGCAGCCACACAGCTGAAGCGAGCAGGAGGCTTGCTTGCTCCAGTGATGGAGGAAGCCAAGGTTCCCCACCTGCCTCGGCCCGGCTCTGAGCTCCGAAAGCAACAAAGTTTCAATTATAGAAGCTAAACAAACCCCAGATACCTGCTTTCAGCAGGCCGTGGCCTCAGAGCTGGAGTGAGCAGGAGCTGGCTCTTAGCTTCAGTGACGGCAACAAAGGTTCAATTATAGAAGCTAAACAAACCCCAGATACCTGCTTTCAGCAGGCCATGGCCTCAGAGCTGGAGCGAGTAGGAGCCGGCTCTCAGCTCCAGTGACGGCAACAAAGTTTCAATTATAGAAGGTAAATAAATCCCAAAATATAAAAAAAAGAAAGAAAAAAAGGAGAGGCTGGGAGCTTCAGTCACCGGCCAGCCTGAAAACGGCCCTTAGCCCCTCACCCAGACTGGCCAGGCACCCCACTGGGGACCCCCACCCTGAAGGGGGTGTGACCAGCTGCAAACAGCCATCAGCCCCTCACCCAGGCTGGCCAGGCACCCAAGCGGGACCCCCACCATGATCCAGGACACCCTTCAGGGCAAACCAGCCAGCCCCCACCCGTGCATCAGGCCTCTATCCTATATAATAAAAGGGTAATATGCAAACTGACCCTAACAGCAGAAAGACTGGGAATGACTGGTCACTATGACACACACTGACCACCAGGGGGCAGACGCTCAATGCAGGAGCTGCCCTCTGGTGGTCAGTGCACTCCCACATGGGGGAGCTCTGCTCAGCCACAAGCCAGGCTGATGGCTGCCAGTACAGCGGTGGTGGTGGGAGCCTCTCCTGCCTCCTCAGCAGCACTAAGGATGTCTGACTGCAGCTTAGGTCTGCTCCCCGCTGGCAAGTGAACATCCCCCGAGGGCTGCCGGGCTGCCAGAGGGATGTCTGATTGCCAGCTTAGGCCCAATCCCCCGGGGAGCAGGCCTAAGCCAGCAGGTGGTCATCCCCCGAGGGGTCCCAGACTGCTAGAGGGCACAGGCCGGGCTGAAGGACCCCCCCCCCCCCCAGTGCACAAATTTTTGTGCACCGGGCCTCTAGTTTAAAATAAAAGGCTTTGACTGTCAAGGGTATTTGTGGCCAAGTGTGATCATCGAGCTTAATTTGGCATCTTGCTCTTTCATAGATCAGCACTTCTCAAACCAGAAGCCCCTAACCATGTGCTCTTCTAAGAAATGTTAAGGGGGGAAAATCCAGTTGTCAGGGTGAATGCTTTGTTTTAGTTTAGGAAATACTGATTCCCCTATTCCTAGCACATAGTGTAGAAGCTGACTAGAGTTAGGGGCACCAAGTGATTCCACCATTCATTTGACCCCATTTCTTCCTTTCCCCCCACCTTTTATTGTGAAAAGTTTTGTGCATATTTGCACGCTTTCACTCTTGCTCTATCTCTGTCTCTTTGTCTCTCCACTCACAAAGTTTTTTATTGGTTTAAACCATTTGGAAACAAGATGCAGATATTATGTCATTTCACCTTTAAATACTCCAAGATACACTTTGCGTGGTTTTTTTTAGTTGAATTTATTGGAGTGACATTGGTTGATGAAATTATATAGGTTTCAGGTGTACAATTCTATAATGTATCAACTGTATATTGTATTGTGTGTTCACAACCCCAATAAGATACACTTTTTAAGAATAAGAACCTTATCTAACTAACACAAACAATTGTCATGTTGAGGAATCCATATTCATATTTTCCTAAACATATCAAGAATAGCTTTTTACCGTTCTTTTCCAAACCAAGATCTCATCAAAGTTCATATGTTGCATTTTTAAACTTAGAATAGCCTCCCTACACACACACATGCGCACACGTGCACACACACACACTTCCTCATACATAAACACACACTGCTACACTTTTTTCCTTCTCTACACTGAAGATATTGACCTTTTGAAGAGCCCAGTCAATTGTTTGGTATACTTTCTTACATTCTGGATAATCTGTTGTTTTTTCAAGATGACATCCTCATATTTTCTTCAACTGGAAGTTAGCTCTGTCTGATAGAAATGTAATATGGATTGCATATATAATTTTAAGTCTTCTCACAAAAGAGTAAAAAACAAGTGAACACATTTTACATACCTCACACCAGACTAGGGCAGTTCAAGTTCTCAGTAACCACGTATGGCTGGTGACTATTATAGTGGGCTTAATTCGATTTGGGTTACATATTTTTTATTTTTGAATTGAAGATTACTTTATGGGATGATTTGGTACTTCATATTGAAGCTCATAATGTCTCACTATTAGTGATGCTAGATATGATCACTTGTTTAAGGTGATCATTGTCTGTCAAATTTACTTGTTGTAAAGGATTTTTGTCCTTTTGCAATTAGAAGGTAATACTTTGGCACTAAGTGAATACCCTATTCACCAACAACCTTCCCTTCATGGTTTTAGAATAATGGCTTCTTTCTTGATGCCAGTGATTTTGTCAAGCTTGGTCGTGCTTGATAAACTTCATTGTCAAATATAAATTATTTTTAGGGGCTAGGATTACTCATGTCAGCAAGTGAAAGAATGAGCACATTAGCATATATTTATTGAGCAACTGTATAACACTGAATTTCACTTCCATTGGCATGGGTGGTTGAGAACCACAAATGAAAAGGTTATTTGACACTTTAAAAAATAAAGCCCAATTCAAATCATGATGATTGGTTTTATTGTTTAGAAACCTTTGCTTTCTTGCAGAGTTGTAAATGAAGAATAACTAACTTCTTTCTCTGATATGTTTTTCTTATAAAAACAGGTGTCCACAAGAGAAGCCAACACCAGGGACCTGACGATATTTACCTAGATGACTTAAAGGCTCTAGAACCTGAAGTTGCAGCTCTCTATTTCCCTAAAAGGTAGTGTGTTCCTTGTATATTGAAGGGTGAACAGCTCTGACATAGTATAGCTATTTCTAGAGTAAAACATTTAATCTGAGAAAAAGGAGCATGATGATGATATCCTTTAGCTAAGTTAGAGGATTGCTTCAGATTTAGAAGATTCTGAAATTGTGTGTGTGTTGATTTGACTGCAGTGATTTGAAACTAATAACAGCTATTTATGTAGAAATGTTTAGTGTAACAAGAAGAGGTACACTAGTTAAACCTACATATGGATATACAATGGGTCTGACTTCACATTAGCAATGTTATAGTATTAATGCAACTCAGCATGCTTAAGAAAATTCTTTAGCATTTGTGTCATTTCTTATATGTTTTAAAGATAATATATCTTTATTAAAAAACTTTTTACAAAGAATGCCTTCACTCCCTCACTGAGTCTGAGCTCCCATGCTTTTTCTGAATTCGAGCCTGAGTCTGGTGAGGCATCATTCCAACTGGCCTTTGCACCCCATATCCTCTAGAGCTCTCCCCTCCTGTCTCTCTTCCTCTCGCTCCCTCATGATTTTCCCCTTAAATAACTCTAAAACCTCAGATAGAATATACTTGTACTGTTTCCAAAGTTCATTTTCATTCTTAGGTGAATTCCATTCCAATGTACTCTATGATTACAAAGAAAACACAGATTTTCTCATGGAAAGGATAGTTTGAATATTCTGAACTGTAGGCACACATACTTAGCACTTTTAAATAAATTATTGGAAAACATTTAAATTTTTATTTAAAATAGATGGGATCAATATGAAGATTATTTAAATTTTTGGCAGATACTTTTGGAAGGTCCTTAAACTCCTTCCTACTAGCTCTCGAAATGTGTCTCAAATATTTACTTCATTTGAAGTAATAGTTGTGGTTTTTTAATATATTTTTATTGGTTTTAGAAAGGGAGAGCGAGAGAGAGATAGAAACAGCAATGATGAGAGAGAATCATTGATCGGCTGCCTCCTACACACCCCCTACCTGGGAAGTGAGCCTGCAACCTGGGCATGTGCCCTGACTGGGAATCGAATCGTGATCTCCTAGTTCAGTGATGGCGAACCTTTTGAGCTCGGCGTGTCAGCATTTTGAAAAACCCTAACTTAACTCTGGTGCCGTGTCACATATAGAAATTTTTTGATATTTGCAACCATAGTAAAACAGAGACTTACATTTTTGATATTTATTTTATATATTTAAATGCCATTTAACAAAGAAAAATCAACCAAAAAAATGAGTTCGCGTGTCACCTCTGACACGCATGTCATAGGTTCGCCATCACTGTCCTAGTTCATAGGTCAGTGCTCAACCACTGAGCCACGCTGGCCGGGCAGTAGTTGGGTTTTTAAGGTGAGAGAACTGAAATGCTCCATTTTTTTTCAATAAGAAAATTAAAATGTAAGCTGTCTTAGAATTAGTACTTTCTTTCAGATTTCTCAGTCCTTAATCATTTACTTACATCAAGATTCCTAAGATAGATTTCTTAGTTTCCCTTTTAAAAAACGGGGAAAGTGCCCTGGCCAGTGTGGCTCAGTTGGTTGGGTGTCATCCCATGCACCAGAAAGTTGCCAGTTTGATTCCCAGTCAGGGCACATGCCTGGGTTGTGGGCTCAATCCCTGGATAGGGGGTGTGCAGGAGGCAGCCAATCCATGTTTTGCTCTCAAATCGATATTTCTCTCCCTCTCCCTTCCTCTCTCTCTAAAAAATCAATAAAAAAGATTTTTTTTAAAAAAATGGGGAAATAAGCAATAGAACCCTACTGTGCTCGATTATAATTTTACCATTATTCACTAGGTAAGTTTCTTACCTCATGAACAAATTATTTCTTGAGACATTTCATACATAATTAAAGATAGGGAGTCTGTTGTAATGCTTATAAACATATATTTTGTTATGATTGTGTTTATTGTTATCTTGACTAAATATTCAGTATTCATAATTAAACTTTAAATCACATCACCCTTGTGGATTTGGTGACATGTTGAGTCAAGTGGCATCTTCCCTGTATTGGTTAAAAGTGACACTAGCTACTCTGATAAAACGCAAGACCCTAGTGGCTTCCCACGATAGAAGTTTGTTTCTTGCTCATGTGATAATATAGTTGACTCTTGAACCATATGGGGGCTAGGGGTACCAACATATAAAATTCACATATAATTTTTGACTCCCCCAAAACTTAACTACAGTCATCCCTCCACAGGGATTGGTTCCAAGACCTACCCTGGATACCCAAATCTGCAGATGCTCAAGTCCCTTATATAAAATGGTATAAAATAGTGCATACAGTCAGCCCTCCTCGTCCCCAGAAAATACTGCTTTTAGTCCATGGTTGGTTGAATACATGGATGTGAAACCCAGGGACATGGAAGACTGACAAAATACCTCTTGAAAAGATCCATGTAAAGTGTATTGGTACTGTTCAAACCCATGTTGTTCAAGGGTCAACTATATTCCAGTGCTGGTGTTTGGTGGGAGGCCTTGCACACAGGGATTCAGGAGCACAAACTCCTTCCATCTTCAGGTTCCATCAGCCCCTTAGGGACTCAGTAGGAAAAGGAGAGAGGATCACATGGGGTAGTTTATAGGGGCTAGGCTTGGGAAGGGCACAGCCCACCCCTTCTGTCCACATCAACAACTCATCTGGTCACATGGCCACACCATAATGGGATGTAGCTGTGTGCCCAGGATAAAGAGGAAACAGGTGTTTGTGAATACATAGCAGCCTTCTGTTTGTGTTTTACCCATGGGGTCAGCCTTTCCCTTCAGCCCCAGCATAGCAGTAGGTTTTGCTGCCTTACATTGGCTTTGGCTTTTTCACCATTTCCAGTGAAGAGAGTATTCTAAGTTAATTGCAGTATTGTGATATTGTGCATTGTTATTAAGACAGAACATATCCAAAAACCTACATCTTTTGTTGGTTCAGATGCAAAACTACAGTTTTTGAAACCGCTTTCTAGCTATGGCATATCTGTATTCTGCTGCCATCTACTGCTCAAATTTGAGATTCTTTTCTGAAGATCTTATAACTACACTGGACTGTATATATGGATCACACACATTAAATATATTGGCTTTCTGAATAAAATAAAATAATTTGAAAATTCTAGAACAATAAATGTAACATCCATTCAAAGGGTGTATAGAGCAATTAAATGTTCATGATTAAGAAACTTAAGGTGTCGTTTCCTTATTCTTTTTCTCTCAAATTAATGCTTGACTACAGTTTCCTTTTTCATCTCCTGAAATCTGGCTTCTGTGCCTATCATCTAGAAAAATGAAAATATTAAATAACCTTATATTTATTTCTGGCCCTCACACTAGTGTAAGGACAGTTTATTTTTAATTTATTTCTTAATGCATTTCTTTTCATGGTGGGTCTAGCCTCCTGAGACTTTCTCTTGCTTAACTTCTTTGTTCTGTTTTGTGGAATAACAGATGAATTTAGATGAGACTTGTTTTTAAAAATAATACAGTCTGGAATTAGAATAATTTCCTCCAGGATGTATATACTATCACAGCTCTTTCTAGGAAATTAGGATCAAAAGGTTTCCAAACATCAGATTTTTCTTAATTTCCCTGTCATTTTCATCATGGAAATATACATAAATGCTTAAAACTTTTATACTCCTTTAATTAAAATAAAAAAGGTTGTGGGTGAAATGTTTGTGTTATTGTGAATAACTTAATAGTTATTCACAATAGATTTTTGTGACATTTACTGTATTTTCAGTTAATTCCTCACTAGTGCTAATAATAGATTATTTTTAATATTATGATGTAACTCTAAACACTGCTTAAGAAAAGCTTTGTCTGATTATAGCTCAATCTGCTGCTTTTTAAAGGGGATTTGTTAAAATCCCCTCAGAGAATCCTGTAGTACGCTAGGAATACAAGAAGCTGTAATAAAGCAAATCTTTTTCTCCCTGTTCCCTGCCCACAGTGAATCAGACCCTGGCTCCAGGCAGTGGCCTGAGTCTGACACGCTCTCTGGTTCCCAGTCCCCACAGTCTGTGGGAAGCGCGGCTGCCGATAGTGGCACTGAGTGCCTCTCAGATTCTGCCATGGACTTGCCCGACGTCACCCTCTCCCTTTGTGGGGGCCTCAGTGAGAATGGAGAAATTTCTAAAGGTAAAGAATGGAGAAATTTCTAAAGGTACACTGGGCAGTCATGCCCTGTCTTCACTTGAGAGAGAAGCCTGGTCATCACTTGATTAAAAATCTATTAAGCTGTTTCAGAGTATTAAAATTTTTAAATCATCTTGTGCAGGTAACAGGTGTCTCCTTTTTTTTTCTTAATGTATTTTTTATTGTTGATAGTATTGCAGATATCTCCCATTCCCCCTCCTTCCCCTTTCCCCTATTCTCCCAGCCCCTAACTACCCCCCAGGTCTTCACTATCCTATACAGGTGTCTCCTTTTACTGTAAGACCTTTAGCCCCTCACAATACCTCATATAGGGTGACATCCTATATAATAAAAGGGTAATATGTAAATCAACTGAACAGTGGAATAAACAGTCACTCTGATGCACACTGACCAGGGGGCAGACGCTCAATGCAGGAGCTGCCCCTTGGTGGTCAGTGCGCTCCCACAGGGGGAGCACCGCTCAGCAAGAAGCCGGCTCATGGCTGGTGAGTGCAGCGGCAGTGGTGGGAACCTCTCCCGCCTTCACAACAGTGCTAAGGATGTCCGTGGGGAGCAGGCCTAAGCCATCAGTCAGACATCCCCTGAGGGCTCCCAGACTGCGAGAGGGCACAGGCCAGGCTGAGAGACCACCCGCCCTCCAGTGCACAAATCTCGTGCACCAGGCCTCTGGTTACATATAAATGGCTTGGATGAGGAAGTGAGCCATAAAGGCTCTCACTTCACATTAAGAGGTTGAGAGATCATGGGCTGCCCTGTGCCACGACCTTCACGGCGGGGTTCAGGATCAGAAGGAGGGGCCGATGCACAAATGAAAATGCTATACAAGAAATAGGAATTTAGAAGGCATCCGGGTAGAGACCTTCTTTCTTGAAGAGGCGCACCAACTTCTGGCCTGGTCCACTATTTATTTACTTGAATACACATTTGCCCTTTAGCAATGCATACAGGCAGATCAAAGGTAAAGTTTGGTAAACAGCATAAGGATGATCAGCTTAGGAAATTGCCTTGAGCCATTGAGCCCACAGCAGGGCAATATTATGCTGATTTTTCCATTGGCCTTCCAAGGGGTCTTTTTGCATTTATATGCTAACTACTGTTTGCTTTAACCTCCGGCATTTCCCCCTTTGGGTTTTCTTAATAAAGCTTGAAAGGTGTATGCCCTCTGCAGGGCTCGAGTCCTTTTAAGACTTTTCATTCCGCATCTGCAGACTAGAATTAAATATATAAGAACAAGAATGAGACAATAGTGGTTATGCTAAAAGGCACATGTGGGAAGATCCAATGAAAAGGATTGAGTTCTGTCTTGTCCTTTTAAAATTGTTGTCAGGCATTTAAGGAATTAGTCCATAAGTTTGCTTGGGGCTTCTGCTATTTGGGGCCAGAGCAGTGTCTGTCTGCAGCCACAGATACAGGTTGAGGCTCCAGGTGCAAGGTCCTCATCAGTTTGGTCAGTTCTTCTCTGCAGATTCATGTTGAAGTTTGATGTTTCTTGCAGGAATCCACACAGGCTTGGAGAAGTTTTCTGGAAATAAACAAGCATATTCTCGACCAAAGGTTAATTAATAAAGGGTCGGAACCTTTCCATAAACTAGACTCAGGATTTTTCCATCTAACCAAACCATTTTCCTTTGGTTTATTTTGACACCAGTGTAATTCCATAGGTGTCTTGTCATCAGCATTACAAGTGAAAAAATTTAAAGTAATTAAGGCTTGGTGTAGTCTACCTACAGGAGATTTCGCCAGCATCACTATTCCCCCTTTTTGTTTTTCAAGTTGGAATTTTAGCCACCGATATTGACATTCTCGAATTGCCTGTCCTTGGGAATTGTGTGGTATTCCTGTAATGTGCTGAATTTTTACAAAATTGCTGGAAATGAGTTTATGTAGGCTTATTGTCAGTTTTAATAATTTTTGGAATTCCTATGACGGCAAAAGTAGTTAGGCAATGATTAATGAAATGACCTGTTTTCCCGTTTCCCCTGTAGATGCGGTGGCCCATAGGACCTTTGAAAGGGTATCTACAGAGACATGCAATGCCCTGAGGCATCCAAAAGGAGTATAATGTGTTACATCCATTTGCCAGATATGTTCCCTTATCAATTCTCCAGGATTAATTCCTGTATTAGGCCTTTGAGGCAGATGTAACATATAAGTGGGACATTCCTTGACAATTTGTTTTGCCTGCTGTAATGAAACAATTAACTGATTCGCTTATGTATTTCCTTTTGTTAAAGGACTTGGCAGGGTGGTATGAGTCCTAATATGAGTAATATAAAAGGGATACTGTCTTTGCTGTACAATTTGCTATATATGAGAAGCCAATATTTTATGAGCAATTGGTTCTAACAAGGTCCAAAGTAAAATTTGCATACATATGCAAATAAGCACTAGCCAAAAAGAATGCTGTCTAAAAGTAAATTTAAGCTTAAAAAGAAATTTTAAAATCTCTTCCGCTACTATTTACAAAGTAAACTAAAAATTATTATTCAGGCACTAAATCTGTAATCTTATTTTCCTAAAAGTCTCTGGCATATCTCTTTCTCCTGTTTTTTTGCTTGTTTGTTTTTAGCTGGGGGAGGCGTGGTGAGGGAGGGAGAGGATAGAAATGTTCTTTCTTGTTCTGGGGAAAAGCTTTTGACATTAAAAAGTCCTTTTTAAAAAGGACATACTTTATGCTATAATCTTTTCAGTGCATAGAATGATATGATAATGTCATTTGGGAATTTATATAATCTCTAACCAAGTTAATTGTTATTATTTTACATTGCAGAAAAATTCATGGAGCATATCATCACTTATCATGAATTTGCAGAAAACCCTGGACTCATAGACAATCCTAACCTTGTAATACGGATATATAACCGGTAAATAGTCTTGCTTTTGTAATTGTTAAATACTTTCGCAAGGTTGTTTTCCAAGTGCTCTTTTTAACTATTACCATCTTTCTTGGTATAAAATATGTCATTTTGCCGAAACCGGTTTGGCTCAGTGGATAGAGCGTCGGCCTGCGGACTGAAAGGTCCCAGGTTCGATTCCGGTCAAGGGCATGTACCTGGGTTGCGGGCACATCCCCGGTGGGGGATGTGCAGGAGGCGGCTGATCTATGTTTCTCTCTCTCATCGATGTTTCTGACTCTCTATCTCTCTCCCTTCCTCTCTGTAAAAAATCAATAAAATATATTTAAAAAAAAATATGTCATTTTATATAAATGAGCTAATGGGCAATGAAGCTTCAGCTCCTTTTCTGGTGATTAATCCTCACCTGAGCATATTTTTCCCCCGCGATTATTAGAGAAAGTGGAAGGGAGGGGGGCGGGGGGAGAGAGGAGAGAGAGAGAGAGAGAGAAAGAAAAACATCAGTGTGAGAGAGACATGTCGATTGGTTGCCACCCTATGTGCCCTGACCGGGGCCAGGGATTGAACCTGCAAAGCAGGTAAGTGCCTTTGACTGGGAATCAAACCCAAGACCCTTTGGTGCACATGCTGATGCTCTAACCACTGAGAAATACCGGCCAGGACTTCAGCTTCATGTTTAAGTGGAATATTAAAATGTTATTTTTGGTAGATATTACTGCTTCTCTGTTCAGAGACATTTCACCTGACAAAAAACTTAGCTGACAATCTTTTTACTGAGAAGAATAAGGAATTTTGTTACTTCTCGCTCCTCTTTTTTTTTTTTTTAAATATTTTTATTGATTTCAGATAGGAAGAAAGAAGGAGAGATAGAAACATCAGTGATGAGAGAGAATAATTGATAGGCTGCCTCCTGCACGCCCTCTGCTGGGGATCCAGCCCACAACCTGGGCATATGGCCTGACCGGGAATCGAGGAACAGTGATCTCCTGCTTCATAGGTCAACTCTCAACACTGAGCCATGCTATCTGGGTTTGCCTCTTTTCTTTCTTTCTTTTTTTTTTTTTTTTAATATATTTTTATTGATTTCAGAGAGGAAGGGAGAGGGAGAGAGAGATGGAAACATCAATGATGAGAGAGAATAATTGACTGGCTGCCTCCTGCATGCCCCCTACTGGGGACCAAGCCCACAACCCAGGCATGTGCCCTTGACCAGAATCGAACCCTGGACCTTTCAGTCCACAGGCCGATGCTCTATCCACTGAGCAAAACTGGCTAGGGCTGCCTCTTTTCTTTATCTCTCTTTACCCCCTTCTTTCTCACTCCTCATTCTGTGTAATGGTTTTACATAATTTTTATTTCTTACAGTTACTATAACTGGGCTTTGGCCGCTCCAATGATCCTTAGCTTGCAAGTATTCCAGAAGAGTTTGCCTAAGGTGAGTTGGTCTGCTGTTTGTTGTCTTTTCAAAAGTATCTACAGCATATAGTACTTAGAAAATTCCATATGTACATATTTCTAAACTGGGTACTTTTCAAAGTTTTATTTAATATTATAAAAGATCCAAAGAGTTCTGTGTGCCTACTCAAATGATCTCATGTCCAAAATCTAGGAAGTTACCTAGGCTGCCACATCATTGTCATTTTTACTAGGTATTTATACCATTTCCTGATTGTGTTTAAAAGTTCAGAGATTTTTCTAGTTGTTAAATATAGAATGAATGAAAAAAAAAAGGTCTTCTCATTAATATTGAAAGAAGCAGCAAGAAGAGGGTGATGTAGCCACCAAAAGCATGACATCAGTGCGATTGGGTCAAATTGTGGTTAATAAATTTTTGAGGGTTGCTTTGAATCTGTCCTGCAAGAAGACATCATCGGCCTAATTGGTCCTCATAGCTCAGTAGAGCGACATTTTCCAAGGGTAGAGACTTGAGAGCAGCGCACCTGCCAGCCCCTAAGCGGGCTGTTCCTACGTGGCCTGAAACCACTTGGTCTCATACCACATAACTGCCATGAAGCCAGGTTGCCATGAGACAGGACACTGTCCATCTTTCTGGTGTTAAAAACTCTAGAGGAGTTTCAGAGATGTGGAGATAGTTGCTCAGACTTCATGATAAGGCACTTCCTGCAGGCTAGTGGTAGAAAGTAGTTGGGTGCTTTGTGACTAACAGATTTCTAGACTAACCCAAGTTGATTGTTTCCAGGCCACAGTCGAGTCCTGGGTCAAAGATAAGATGCCAAAGAAATCTGGTCGCTGGTGGTTTTGGCGTAAGAGAGAAAGCATGACCAAACAGGTAACCAGCCTGGAAGTATCCTTTCCATAAGCTGAAAAGAATTTAATCTTTGATTTTTTCAAAACACTGTCAAGCACAATAAAGCCCATTTAGGGTATATAAATTTACAGTAATGGTCACCATTTTTGAACAGTTGCTATGTGCAGGTCCTATGCTAGGTGCTTTACATATGTTACCCCTGACCTTTACTATAGCCCAAGAGTATAGATGTTTGAATTTGCATGTGTACAGAGGTGAAATTCCTTGACTGGGAAGGGACAGAGCTAGGGTTTGACCTTGAGATCAGTTTTAATGCCTGTGCTCTTTCCACTTCGCTGCAATACCTTATAGTTAGAGCAAGAGCTTGTTGCCCTCCTACACAGGAAGTGGGGCATCAGTCACTTCTGTTCTGCAATCCCAGTGTCTCTGCTGTGGACCACTTGTACTATATTTTGTGACTTGAAATGATGCTCTTTTAAAATTTTTCTTCTGGCTTTATAGTGACAGCTTTTGTGGAGCAGCATGTGACTTCTAAAGGGTGTCCCAAAATTCACGCAAGAAGTAATTTTGATAGAAAACACAGGTTTATAATTAAAAATTGTAAATTTTTTATTGATTCATAAAGTATACAGTATAGGGTTATGTATGGAATAGCATATCGGGTAAATGGCCTCCATGGCTTTGCTGGCACATACGCACTCTTGTTATTGCCTGAGCAGCCGCATTTTCGAAGAAGAATGGTCCGATGATGCCTCCAGCCCAAAATCCGCACCAAACAGTAACACGTTGTGGATGCATTTGTTTCTCAACAATCACTCGTGGATTTTCTGAACCCCAAATGCAACAATTTTGTCGATTAACCAAGCCATCAAGATGAAAATGAGCCTCATCGAAATTCAGCCACATTTATGCAAAACAGTCATGGAAAATTTCAACAAAAGAGTGCGTATGTGCCAGCAAAGCCGTGGAGACCATTTACCAGATATGCTATTCCATACATAAACCTATACTGTATACTTTATGAATCAATAAAAAATTTACAATTTTTAATTATAAACCTGTGTTTTCTATCAAAATTACTTCTTGCGTGATTTTTGGGACAACCTTTATCTCAGGTTTCTGTCCTTTGGCTCAAACTAGAGAAAGTGTGTTTTCTTGAGCATTTTTAAGTTGTAGATTCAGAAAGTAGTTTTGCTTATTCTTGGCAAGGACTGCTGATGAATTTTTGTTTGTCGGTAGAGAGAAAAGCTGCACTTGACCATTATTATCTTGCTTTTTTAGCTGCCAGAAGCCAAGGAAGGAAAATCCGAGATGCCACCCACCAGTGACCTGCCATCAAGCACAAAGGAGCTGGCCAGTAGCAGGTGGGAACACCCTGTCTTTCCTCCAGGCTCACAGCACTTGGGCCACCTCTGCTTTGGTTATTGCATTCAGGTTGATTTGGGCGATTTTGTTTCATTTTTAGTTAGAAACATCTTTCTCCTATGGACATAGGTGGCTTGTTCGTGCCACTCGGCTAGCAGATGATAACTTCTGCTTTTCTAAAAATAATACTCGCTTAAGCCCTGGCTAGGTAGGTCAGTTGGTTGGAGTGTTGTTCTGTACACCAGAAGGTGGCAGGTTCAATCCCAGTCGGGTTGTGGTGCGTACAGAAGGCAGCCAGTTGATGTTTCTCTCTCGCATCAATGTTTCTCTCCCTCTCTCCCTCCCTATTTCCCTCCCTCTCCTCCTTTTCTCTCTCTAAAATCAGTGAACATATCCTTGAGCAAGAATTTAAACTATATTATTCAGTTAGGAAAGTAAGTAGCTCATCACTGCTTCCCAAATACCTTGCCCCTCCATCCGGGAGCCATGGAATCGATGCCTCTGAAATAAATATAGGCCTTTGGGAAGGGGGAATATTGAGGAGTCCTAAGATGGGCTGTCCCTGGTGCCCCTGCTCCCTGGTTTCCTTTCGAGCACAAAAGGGAGATATAAAAGAGAATCTCAGAGATTGTGGCTCTCTTTCATTTCTTGGAAGAAGTAGCACCCCTTTGGACATTCACATTGGCTTGCCTTTGGAGGAAGTGCCACCATATACCCCATTCTTCTTTCTGCCATCGATGTAGTTTCCCCAGTCAGCTGCTTTTCTTCTTCTGTTCCCTAACTCTTTAGTTCAGTAGTCTGTGTGACAGTATACTCTTACTCTTTACCCCCTTCTGTTAAACAGTATGTAAGAAATCTTTCTTGTTAGTTTTTTAAATCAACATAAGCAAGTATATTTCCTTCTATTTGTACCTTTTGAAATATACGTATCTACTTTTATAAGTAGCATTCACTGATCACAGCAGAAAATACCCAGTCATAGCTAGAAAGTAACCTCTGGCCAATCATGAGGGGGAGGAGGAAGGTGGCTTTATCACTTCATGAAATGAATATGCAGGCATGGAAGCAGGATGTGGGAGAGCAGCAGAGGGAAAAACTGTTTCCATTTCTAGAATAGATTTAGGATCTCTTTCTTCTTTTATCCTAAATGAAAAGCTCTTACCAATAAAACAGCTGCTGTCTCTTCAGTAACTGGGTTGATGTTGAATAGGTCAGCAGAGGATGACTCATCCAGTGACGAGGGGTCACAGGAGCTTCAAGAATCAGTCAAAATGGACCCCATCCCCACGGAGCCCCCGAGCCACAGCAGCACAACCTCATATAAGAAGTCTCTCCGCCTCTCCTCGGACCAGATCGTGAGTAGTGTGTGATCCATGTGGATTTGGTTGGATTATCTTAGTAACTGTTCAAGTTGACCTCCTTCCTCTTCTGTCCATTTGATCACAAGCCTCACACACACGACACTGTGTGTTTGTATAGATGTTTACGTATAAATGCTCACGTAAATATCCACCTCCAGGGACCACCAGGATCACCTGGGGAACCTGAGATGTAGCTTCCTCCACCACCCCTGACTCTGCTACCTCAGTTTCTGGGAGTGAGCTGAGAAATCTGTATTTTTAACTTGTTTCCTCATGAATCTTAAACAGCTCTCTCATCACTGGGTCACCCACTGTTTCAAGAGCCACAACAATAGAGAATTATGTTTTCCTATTTAGACACAATTTCCCCTTTCCTATTTGTTTTTACTCCCTGCTTTCACCTGTTTTCAGTGTGAAATGGGTTTTGCTGTGCCGCCAGTCTTAGGTATGGAGAAGGAGTGGAGAGGTTTTTTTTTGTTTGGGGGGATTAGAAAAGTCTCTTGGGAATCCCAAGCACTGTTCAGGCAGTGGCTCCCTAGGCCAGCTCATTGAGTGAGCCATCCCTGTTTTGTAAACATTTAGACTCTGTGCCAAACTGTTTTCATCTGATTTTTTAAAATTTTCAGTTATCTTGTTAACGTATTCCTTCCCATTTTTATGTATTCATACACATATATGTATACTTATACATGTGGAGATTAGGTTGCTTTTCACTTACCATTATATCTTAGGCAATCTCTCAGTGACTACAAATTATTGGAAAATGTGACTTTTTGATGTGTGTAATTCCATCAGTTTTTAAAATTCTGCCTCTGCGGTTTTCTTTATTCTTCTACTTTTTATAAAAGGCAAAACTGAAGCTCCAAGATGGTCCAAATGATGTTGTGTTCAGTATTACAACCCAGTATCAAGGTACCTGCCGCTGTGCAGGGACCATTTACTTGTGGAACTGGAATGACAAGATCATCATTTCCGATATAGATGGAACAATAACCAAGTAAGCAGGGCTTCGTGGTGGGTGGCGGGGAGGAGGCACAGGTCAGGCAGTGTGCAGTGGGCTGGAGTGGGGAGGCAGGTTTCCTCAGCAAGCACCCAGCTCGTGGTCATCATCAGGAGGGTTTTGTAAACTATATACACTGAGACATCCCGAGTGCAGTCCACACATGGGTGGAGCGGATGGGTGGAGCCATACAAACGTAATGTCGAAAATAACTTTTGGAAGTATTTAGTTATTTCGTTTCTAAATTTTGGCATTAAAAAAACTGAGAAGCTATTGAGATTAAGAAAGAGAAAAAGGTGTGTAGTTGTAAATTATCTCTGAAAATGAACAGCTGACTGTCATGTCTGATTCTATTTTCAGAAGCTCCTCAGTGGTATATTTGCAGGAGACTGCCTCACTGTAAATTGCCCTGTCAGTTGTCTTGCCCCTCTACCCAGTGCTTTTCGGCAGCTGGTATATAACTAAAAAGGAAAACACTTGGCTTTTATATGCTTGATTCCCAATACCTCTTTTTACTTTTACCCTCTTAGGTCTGATGCTTTGGGACAGATTCTTCCACAGCTGGGTAAAGACTGGACTCATCAGGGTATTGCAAAGCTCTACCATGCCATCAACGAGTAGGTCTCCTGTCCCACCTGCTAATGTGCTCTAAAATTTTGCTTTAAGAACTTTTGAAAAATAGCGTACATGGAAATCACGTGTGTTCATGATCCAGCTATGACCACTCTTCTTTCCCACTCACACAAAGGAAAGTGGCAGCCAACATCTATCATCTCATTCTCACAACGCTATGAATTTTAGGCACTATCTATATTTATACTTATAGCTATAATTGGGTTTTTAGCTTATAATGTAACGAGCCGATTTTCAGTTTTGCTTTATTAATTAGGTACTTGGCTACTTTTAAATTGGGTATTTCTTTGAGGAGGTCATGCATACATGCATGGGGGTATCATTTCACTCCTGGGGTCTTCTATGCCAGTGCAGCAGAGAACAAACAGTGCCATGGCCTTCATGGGACCCTAATACATATGAGTTAAATTGACTTGAAAAATTAGTGTCTTAAACATTAGTTGAGGATGCCCTAATATGAAAATTATGTCAGTCACCAAGGTATAATTTTGTTCCTTGGCTTATAGAATGGCTTGCCTTCTGCAAATTGTCTTTATAAATAAGATATTTTGTGTCTGTCCTGTATAGCAGATCATTTAAAGATAGTCTAAGATTTTTGTCTGTTCTGTAGTCTGCCTTTCATTGGACTATATGATGAATGTACATCAGTACTTGTAAACTTAGCATAATCCCTAGTTGCATATACCTTCATTTTCCCCCGTGGTGTTTTCCATGGAAAGGTGAAATCTTTATAATCCTGTTTTTCTGTTAAATTCAATAATTTGATTTTCACAATAAATGGGAGGATCTCTATTTGGATCTTTTACAAGAAAAGTGCTTCCTTTTTTTTCTCCCGCCTTTACCCAAAGCACAATGGGCTAAATAAGACACATTCTCTTTCAGGAATGGCTACAAGTTTCTGTACTGCTCTGCTCGTGCCATCGGCATGGCCGACATGACCCGTGGCTACCTGCACTGGGTCAACGACAAGGGCACGATCTTGCCCCGGGGCCCTCTGATGCTGTCCCCCAGCAGCTTGTTCTCTGCCTTCCACAGGTAACTCCCAGCAGGCAGCCCCTCTGAGTGTGTGGGAGGGGGTGCTGGGGCCTGAATGGACTGTGTGAGGATGGGTGTCAGGCTCGTAGAAAGGGATTGTATCTGTTTCAGAGCTTGTCATAGTTCTTTGGCTTCCCCATAGCATTCTTTTTAAAAATATATTTTCATTGATTTTAGAGAAAAAGGAAGGGAGAGGGAGAGAGAGAAACATTGATTGGCTGCCTCCTGTATGTGACCCTACCTGGAATCAAATCCAAAACCTGGGTATGAGCCCTGGCCTGGAATCAAACCAGTGACCTATTGGTGCACGGAACAGTGCTCAACCACTGAGCCACACCAGCCAGGTCTCCCCCATAGCATTCTAAGTCACAGCTCACCTGGTCTATATCAAGCATGGTCAAGGAAAGTTAAGTTCTAGGAGTGGCCATTTTCTCTTTCCCCAAACCCCATCAAATATTCGTAGTTATCAGATTGACTAGCAGAGAAGGAAAGAGACCAGTTACATTTTTAAAATGGGTGGTCATGCACTCTAAAATTTTTCAGTACCATACACCAGGGAATACTACCATTTTGAATTTGGTGACTTTATTTGAATTTTCCCCCCCTAGGGAAGTGATAGAAAAGAAACCAGAGAAATTCAAAATTGAGTGTCTAAATGATATCAAGAATCTGTTTGCCCCATCTAAGCAGCCCTTTTATGCTGCCTTTGGAAACCGTCCAAATGTAAGTGTCTCCTTTGGGCTGCACATTCTGATGTGGTGGGTAATATTGAGGGGAGTGTATTTTTAGGTGTTAGCTATGTCATAATTCTCAAATGAATTTTATAGGCAAAATGCATGTCTATCCTGATAAATAGGTTTTCACTTTATTCCAAATTCTTGGAGTAGTTGGGGAGATCCTGGAAGTGGAGATCTTCCCCAGAATTTTGGTATATGATGAAGGGCACTTTCTCTTTGTTTCTGTGGCTTCAATTCCTATTTCCTCAGGTGGTTAAGCCGTGTCCTTAGATCCACCCCAGAACCATGGCATGAGTGCTCATCCTTAATTGACACTTTCCTGACCTGCCTCCACTTAGAGGGGCCTTCAGATCCCTCAGGCATGCAGAAGGGCTGCTTCCTGGCCTCTCGTGGGCAGTGGAGCTCCTCTTGCTTCAGGGTGCCACTGGCATCTCCTTGGCGCCCACATTTCCTGAATCCCCCAGCACTCTCTGGGTTTGGCTCCACTTTTTGTTTGGATTTGTCTAAAGCTCAGTTTCAGTGGCAAAGCTACATGGTGCCCAGTTCTGCACGTTTTCCGTAGAGACGGTCTTTTGTTTGTGCAGTTCTGGCTCACAAGGAACTGGAGAAGCAATGCCTAATTTCTCCTCCCTATAATCCTCCTCCTTCATGTTTTCTTCTCCAGGACGTTTATGCTTACATACAAGTTGGAGTTCCAGACTGCAGAATATTCACTGTGAACCCCAAAGGTGAACTAATTCAAGAAAGGACCAAAGGAAACAAGTCATCGTAAGTGTGTTCCCATTTCTCAGTCTCGTGCTGTGCAGCCAGGGTGACAGACAGATACTAAGGATCGGGCCTTGCTCAAAGTGTCAGAATCACCACTGCCTTTGAAGGTTTTCCTCATTGCCTGGGTATTTTCCCCTCTATTTATGGGATTGCTGATTCTCTTTGTGCCCAGGGAAGGGATGGAGACCTGTCTCAGATCCTACCCATATGAGAAATCTGAATAACTAGCTTTACAACCTATAGTATTGTACTCTTAAATCAACTTCACAGTAAGAGTCTGTGCTTGTCTTCTCCAATCCCTTCTAGGTATCACAGACTGAGTGAGCTCGTGGAGCATGTGTTCCCACTTCTCAACAAGGAACAGAATTCTGCCTTTCCATGCCCAGAGTTCAGCTCCTTCTGCTACTGGCGGGACCCAATCCCCAAAGTGGACCTGGACGACCTGGCCTGAGGCAGCCCCTCTGGGAGATCCTCAGTCTCCCGCCTTGCAGCTAGGGAAGGTGACCGGCACTTCTGCTGGACAGAGGACACTGGGATCCCCTCCCAGCCACAGGTGTGGGGCAAGACCTATGTTGACAGCTAGGTACCAGCAGGGACAAGGAGAACTTGTGGAGCAGGAACTGCCCTCTCCTTCACCCTCCTGGGCTTGGCAGAGTTACAGCTCAGTGCCTCAGCAGAATTGAGGGCAGCTCGGACCTGAGGTCGAAGACCTAGGCTCCTGTCACTGGTCGGTTCTCATGCACACTCTGTGTCAGGTTGTGTGCTGGGTGCTCCTTTAATTGCATAATTTAAAAAGAAGTAAAAAGAAGCTAAATTAGAGTGGACCAAAATATTGCACAAAGTAAAGTGTTATAATTTCCACTGGGCAATTGAAAGTGTTTCTCTGTAAAACCGGGGCTTTATTAAGGGGTTCTGGGTCCACCGAGCTGCTTCAGGTCCCATGAATGATGTTGGCTCAAACCGCTTGCTCACGTTTCTTCTGTGGGTTCCTCCTTCCCTGCTACACTGAAACAAGACGGCTGCTGGGGCCACTCATCCCACCCCACAGATATGGGCTCCTGGGGAGGAAAAGCCACCTTCTCATCTGTGACTGCTCCATGATGTGAACCTAGCAAGAAGAAACGGTTTTGCAAGATATGTTTTATATCTGTAAGAATAGGAATAATAGTGAGTGTTGGTTAAGCAGCAAAGAACAGCTGTTTTCAGGGAGGCCTTGGAAATGCAGATGTGCACTTACTATGGCTCCTGAGAAGGGTCCTTCTCTCCACCTGCCTGCCCCTCAGTTTCTCAGCCTGGTTGTACTGAGCTCGGGTCAGAGTCCAAGCAGACTGCACCGGGGAAGGCTTCTGTCCTGTAAGCGGAGGCCTGGAGAAATCAGGTTGGGTGTTGACAATCAACTCAGTACTAAAATCAACAGAACTGTTGGAGAGGAAGCTTTCAGGGGACAAAAATGACCACACAGCCCTCTTGGTGAGAAAGCAGTGAGCCGAGTTCCAGAGCAGAGTGAGAACTGCAGGTCCAGGCACCACCCCGCTCAGGATGGTTTCCATTTCCACCTCTGCTTCCCCCTGTGCTTGTTTTGGGGGGCTCTCCTTATTTTTGTTTATTCCACCCAAAATAATGCTGATGTAAAGATGGAGAAATGGGGGTGGTTATTTTTCCAGATTGGAGAGTTGAAAGTCCCTGCTGTAGCTCAGCCATTTTTCCTAGTGCGTTTGGATGCAGAGACAATGGTGAAGGCCCTTGAATGCGGTTCTCAGTGGCAGAACCTGGAGAGGCACGTTCCCAGAGGGGAAACAGCACACACTTCCTCCAGTGCAAACTTTCCCGCCTTCAATAGGTCAGGGTCTAATTGTTTAATGAGTTTCTTTATGTACAGTAGGTTAGGGAAACTAGGTTATGTTTTTATGAAGTTCTTCCCAGTTAGTGAATTAAATTTCTGGTAGAGTGGCCATTACTTGATCTCATAGATGCCGTCAGCGTGTCCTCGACTGTATTTGCTTTAGAAGAATTTTATGTGCTTGACCTGAGCCTCTGCACATGTGCAGTATGAAGTATCTTAATATATATCTTTTGTAGAGAGCTTTTGACTAGACAGTTTCTTTCTCTCTGGACACACGGGCCTATCTAGAAGGTTCACTGTAGGAACCCGGGTCTCCCAGTTCTGTGTTGAGGGCGGCTGATCCCTTTGTCCGAGTGTCCGTAAGCACTAGACTGTCATTTCCTTGCTATAGACTGATCCAGTGGGTACATACACTAATTAACATATCTTTTTCCTTATTTAAAGGAGTCCCTCTTGCTGAAAAGTAGATGATTGCTATTACTGTAGTGTGGTAAAAGTATTGTTTGTGCTGAAAACCCATTGCCATTTGGTACAAATGACGTGTATTCTTTCTGTGAAAGAGAGATGCCCTCGAGTGTGTTTGTACACAGACCCTTACGAAGGTGAGTGAATGAAGAAGCATTAGCCTTGCGCTGCTTTCGGTGATGGATGGTATCACGGGGAGATTGCAGGCAGATCGGGCTCTTTTAAGTCATTCTCTCAGTTGCTTCGCTGGTGAAACAGCCATGGCCCCTTCCCTCTTTCCAGCTCAACCTGACTTTAGTATCGGCGTTGATGTCCGTGTGGTGAAGCTTGTGCGGCTGTGGCATCGGCATCTGCATCTTCCCAGGCATTAGGAAGTGCACGTGTGGGCCCACAGCGTGCCTGTGTAGCTCTGTGTGTGTCCCATGTTTGCTGTGCTTAGCACATCCGCATAGTTTTCAACTGGAAAAAGAAAAAACTTACTACTGTGATGTCCTCAAATGAAAGCTGCTAACAGTCACAGGGAGGACAGCTGGTAAATGACTGGAAGTACTTGTGCCCCCAGAGACTGCACACGACCCTTCCAGTGTGTGCTTCAAGGTGCAGGCAAGACCCTTTAAAGATAGGCAAGAAGGCAACTCTTCCTCTTTGCAACTTGGTGAAAACAGACTTTTCCGGGGAATTTTAACTTTTCGAGATCATCACGCTTACTCTAGGAAGCCTTGCTTACCCGTTTTAGAGCATGCTGGGTATAATGTAACTAGTTAAAATTGAGTTTTTGTTTCAAGTAAGTGCTCTTTCCAGATGAAAACTATGTTTTTGGTTTGAAGGTAAGAAGGGAGGGGGAAACTTTGTTCTTTTAATTTAATAATTACTTTCTGATGAAGTATTTGATTTTTAGACAGCAGTGCCACTAAAAAGTTTTAAGTTGTCAGAAATTGTAAGCATCAGTCCAGTACTCTTAGTTATGGCAAAGACCATTGTCTTAAGATAAATGGTTCCTATTTTGGTGCAGTGTTTGATGTTCAAAACAAAATGTTACAACAATAAACAAACGTAAACTGCGTCCGACTCTTTCCTTCAGAGGACATTTAAACCATCTTCTCTATACTCTTGCCAGAAATTGTTAATTTCCATAAATTAGCATTTTGATCTTTGCTGACACTTAAATTTGTCTACAGAAAGGACTTCTTTTTGGTGCTTGTTTTTATAAAACCTGACTCCAAAAGTGAGGCTACACCCTCAGGAACTAATCTCTTGCTTTGTAGGTCCTGCCAGGAAATGATTCACTCATCCATATGCGATTTCTGGTGTGTGCTCACTGGAATCCTCGAAACTGTGTTTCCATTCCACCCTCAGCCCTTTCAGGGTTCCCCTGAGAGTCCTGCTCACAGTAACCCACCTTTCATTAAACCTTCCCTGGGGTGAACACCAATTAGTAATCCTGATGTTTTCATTGGCTTAGGAGAGTCGGAGTGAACTTGGATCAAAAACCACATCGCACGTGTTATTTAAATGAGCATCTTTTTATCCCTTCAGATTGCTGGGTCCTGCCAGATGCAGCATGTGCTGGACATGTTGAATCCCAAAAAGTCCTTGAGAGTGTGCCTTCGAGTGTGGAAAGCGCTCATTTCGTGCTGCTTTGCCGCGTCATGATGGTTGGGTGAGAGGTCGGGGGGGGGGGGGGGGGGGTTGTTCTTTAGGGAGAGAAAGGAAGAGCTCAGACTGGGAGGTTGATTCTAAAGGGAATGGCTTCCAGCTCTTCAGGGAGGAGCAGCCTGGGTCCCAGCCCTGCTCTCAGGAGGCCTGTCTGACTGTAGCTTCCTTCTGCTGCACTCTGCACCCCTTAGAGCAAGCATGTCAGCTCAGAAAATCCAGCTGGCACACGCATGCTTCTGCCTTCTCTCCCTTTTGCATGCCTCTCCCGCCCGGCACGAGTTTGACATGCTAGCCTTAGAGTTTGCATGTATCCTTCCTTTTCCTTCCCTTTGATAGGACAGTACAGGGAAGACACGTATGTATGTTTAGAAAGTGGATGCAGATATGTGCAAAGCCATGTTTCAAATATACAAGCATGGACTTGGTGGGTGTCTGATCACAAATACCACTATCCTTTCAAACTACAAATAAATTGTGGAAAACAGTTGGAGAGATGATAGGGTCACTGAGAACGCTAGATGAATGTGCTAACATGGAAATAATTTCAAATGCACTTTACATTGATTTGCATTCTTTATTGCTGGGATCGTTTTGCTGCTTGCAGTCATTTAACTATGGCCATTTGTAATAGTTCATGGGGGGGAGAAGGTCTCAGTCCTGTCTCCTTACCTTAAGAAGTGCTCTGACCTTTTCTCAGCAACAACTTTATTTCGCAAGTTGTAACTGCACCTGCGTGAGTCCTGGGGCTTGGTTCTTAGTCTCACTCGCAGGCACACAGGGCTGTTACTTTCTAGGAAGGGGCTGCCCACAGATCCTGCAGCTCAGGTGACCGTGTGTTTTCTCTTGGTCTTTCCCTCCTACTTCATCCTGAAGTGAACACAGGACCTGCTGTAGTTAGACTTAGTGTACTTTGCCCACCTTGGATACACGGAACTGAAATTCTTTTTTTTTTCTTTTTTTTTAATAAATGAGTCAGAATGCACTGAGAGAGGAGGACCAAGTATTACTTGGTGCTCTAGAGAACCATCTGTGGTCCCTGTCTTTCCAACTATTGTGCACTTACTCCCTTTGGCACTGAGTTAAGGTGTTTACAGGGGGTGTGAGGGAGAGAGGGCAAAAGCATGCATGCGTGCCAACTGGATTTTCCTGAAAATGCTCTATTGCACTGGGGTTTTTTCCATGAGTCATTTCTAGGAAGCCATTGATACTCTGACAGCCACCTTTAGCCAGTTCCCCAGCTGGAGAAATGGGGTGAGAGTGCCTCTCTCCCCCACCGTCCTGGACAGAGAGACCCAGACTTACTTTAAAATACTAAAACAGCAAACCTTCAGGCTCCTGGCCACTCCTCCCTTGCCAGGGGGTGGGGTGAGAAAGAAGGCTCCTCTCTCAGGGCCAGTGGCCACCTGTGATCTCACTGGCAAGCAGTCTTGGAATGTTCACAATTGTTACAGCATAACAGTATCTGGTGGCTTGACTCAGTCCCAGGAAACTTGTCTGTGGTCCACATCTTTCCCTGAGGTGCTAGGGGATGTGCCTCCCCCGGTGGCACTTGATTGACCAACAGATCTTACCAACCTAATGAGCAGAGACCACCTGGAGCAGAGTCTGGTGTGCCTAGAGCTTTCTGTGGCTGCTGGGAAGGGAGTAACGTGCTGGGCTTCCCTGGAACAGAACGTGCTCTGCAGGGGGAAGTGCCTGCTTTTCTCAGATGACCTCAGCTTTATGTTGGGCCTCTTGTTGCCTGGGAACCCGAGTTTAAAGCCACATCTGTGTGATGTGGGCAGGGAGCAGTCTCATTAACTTACGCAGCTGCTAATTAGATGTGAATTCTCAGCACGCCCTGGAGGAGCCTCTCTTCAGCTGCGGGGCTCAGATGGAGGCCTTGACCTCCCAGCACATCTGGACTGTCTTTACAAGCAAAAAGGAACCAAGTGTACATCGTGGATGCTGAGGAGGAAGTTAAATGGTTGCGATTAATTTATTCGAGCTTACTTCCTATAGCCATTAAAAAGTCAACGTCTTTCTACAGTTTGCTTTTAGCAACAACTCTAAATCCACAAGGCACCGGATTTAAGTAACTTGAAGTGGTTTAGTGGTTTTACATCTTTATTGACACTCCCTGTCTTTGCACTTAAATTGTACATGTCATTCAAGGAGCCCAGCGAGCTCACAGCAGTCTCTTGGATTCCTTCACAGCCGGGCAGAGGCCCGGGTGAGCAGTGGTGAACCAGACCTGGGGCCGCAGACTGCAGACCCAGGCTCGTGGTGGCACGTGCCACTTCAGTGTTGAAACTTCTCTCCTGCGTGCGGTATAAATAAACACCAGCAGAGACTGTGGCCACAGGTATCCATTTGGGCCAGCCCTCCACCTCAGGCCTGCATCCAGCAGCATTTCCTTCTCCAGCAGCAGGACTGGATCCCACTGCCTCACCCAGGGCAGCACCTTGTAGGCCCAGCTCCGGCCCCTTGAGGCAAAGCCAGAGCTTGGGGAGGCCCTGGCTTAGAGGTAAGGGTGTGTCCCAGCTCTTCAGCTAGCCCGTGGGCAGGACAAGAGTCAGTCCTTGCTGCCTGCTGGGGAACTCTAAGGTGTGTTCATGGCCTCCAAAGCCAGAACAGGCTGTTAATCTTGAGAGAGGTGGTGGGACGTCGACAGAATACTAGACCAGTGCTCCAGTTACATACATAACGTGAATAATATTAAAGCTTTCCAGTTCTTACAACTTTCCTTCGCCTTACCTTTCCCCAGTGCCCTAGAGGTGGGAAAGGAAAGGATATAAGAAAAACCCACTAAATGTGGAGTACATTTCGTCAAAGTCCGTGTGAGCCAGCCTGCCCCCGGTCACCACGATGTTGACGCCGTCTCCTGCCTTCAAGTGCACGATGAGGTGGAATGCTCCCGGGCCTCCACAGGTGTGCAGAGCCCCTTGGGGCCGGTGGTATTCCAGGAATTCTCTCTTGTAGCCAGCTGTGTGCAGCTGAGCCACGCTGGCATTGGAGACGGACAAGACCGCTTCCACGTATGTGTCCCTCTCAGGAGTGAGGGTGGCCGTGATCAGGTAGCGCCCATCGTATGGCGCTGTGAAGACCCCTGGGAGGAAGAAGGCAGACACCTGTGTTTATGGGACATCATCACAGTGCTTTGCAACAGGTTTTCAGTTAATGCTTGTGGGAGAGGTAGCCCACCTACACCCACCCAATGATAGGCATCGCTCTTGGCCGCTGGCCCAGTCCTCTGCAGGACCCACTGTGTCATGCTTATCACATCCAGAAGAGGACAAATACTGCAAACCCTCCAGCCCTTGGTATAATTACCACACCTCACCTACACCCAGCGCAGCCCTAGGAGGAACCTGCCCCTGCGTGCCGTGCACAGTGCAGGGAGAGAACCATCTGGCCTTGCTGGGAGAGAGCTCAGTCCTAACACTGGCAACAGTGCGCCAGCCTTGGCAGTGCCGTGTGCACTGCCCAGGCTTGGTGAAGACACAGGGCCCAGCCCGTGGCCTGCTCCCCCCACCACCTAAGGTACAGTGAACAACAGCCACCCAGGTCCTGGTTGCCTCTTGGAAGCTTTCACCACTGAAAGTACCCCAAAGCCAACTTAGAATCAGCCTCACAGCTTGAACCCAAAGAACCCACAGAGCTTGTTACTAACGTAGGGAAAACCGCAACCAGCTCCCCTGTGGAGGAGCCAGTAGACAAGTGGCATCCCTTCATGGCCAGAAGCTGGCTGATTTGCACTTGGCCAAAGATTCGGAGGTGGGGATGGCGTGCGGAAGAGGCAATGGGGTTTGTAGATGTGCCAGTTGCAAAGCAGCAGTAGGTGGCCCCACAGCTAGAAGAGTGGGCACCCACACCAAGTGCCGCCAGGAGCAGCCACTGTCCCTTGTCTCTGGGGAGAAGACAAGATTTGGAACATGGCCATAGGCCAAGAGCTGGCAGAATGGAGGTCCTGGGGCTGAAAAGGAATTTTGGGGTCTGGGTCTTCACTCTGCCCTGAAAAAGAGGCTACCGGCTCCCTTTCCCATCTTGTTGTTAATCACCCAAGGATGTTTCTTCCATTGACTTTTAGAGTGGAAGGAAGAGGGGTTAGCGGGGAGAGAGAAACATCGATGTGAGAAACACATCGATTGGTTGCCTCCCACATGTGCCTCTGACTGGGGGCCGGGATAGAACCTGCAACCCAGGCACGTGCCCTCAACCAGGAACCGAACCTGAGACCCACTGGTGCACAGGCTGACGCTCTAATCACTGAGCAACACTGGCCAGGGCCCTTCTCCAACTTTCAGTAGTAACTTAAAGCTCCAGAATTCTTTCCTTAGGCACCTGGACCCTGAAGTCAGACCTGGCCCCAGCACTCTGGGTACCTGGCTTTCTTGTTCGCCAGGGTCACCCGGAATGTACTGAGGA